CTAAACGCTCGTTTTGGAGGGAGGGATTAACAGTTACATGATGGAATGTTGGACAGTTGGCCCTGTCTTCCAAATTTCCAAATTGGTCTATCTTTCTGCTGACTGTTCTGTTGGCTTTCCAGCTAAGCTCTCCTTTACTTTTCTTTCTTTTTGTTCTTTCTAAATTCTCTCATTACATTTCTTCCTTGTTTCAACACTGTTAATGGAGGTGAAACCCTGAAAGAGGGCATCATTGTAATTTCAGGATCCTCCTTCCATAGACAAAATTGCTTTCTTCCTGTTCCTCTACATTATAAAAGGGGAAATGAAATCCATTCCACCATCATAACCCTGCTGCCTGAAACAGGGGAAATCAAGGTTTGTTTGAGGGCAACCCATTTCTTCTTCTGCGGTTGGAAACTGGAATCCAACATCATGAGCTTTAAAAACTATTATTCCTTCTGGGTTTCACTTGGTTTTGTTGGGGAAAAAATCAACCTTGAAGCTCAGAATTGATATTATAGTTCAGCTTAAATTCTTTGAAGGGATGCAATAAGTACTTATTTTTCTTATTTGATTCTGTTGTATGATTTTGAAAACTGGCTCCTTTTTCATCATCAGATGTACTGTCTTTATGGTTTTTATCTCCTTCAGATGAGTGTCAACTAAATTTACATTTTGGATTTGAAATTCTCTTCGTGGGTACTTGGGATAAAAAAAAAAAAACCAATAGTTGAAGTCATACTTCACACATAGTATGATTGGAACTGTGAAATGAGCTAGTTGCAGGGCAACAATGGTAAGTTGTTAGTCTATCTCCATCAGGCACAATTTTTGATGAGGCTTTTGTTTTGCAAGATTCATTGTCCTCCCTTCATTTGCTTTTGTAAACCTTCCCCTCATATATACACTCCTGGACCACTGAAATTAGAGGATATCCCACATCCGCCCTTGCCTTCAAAACTTCTGTCATTTCCTGAAACATCTGATCAGTTATCTGATGACACCAATGAGATCAAGGAGGAGAACTTAGATGGGATTCCAAAACCAGCTGAGCCTTGTCTCAAAAGTAGTCTCAGAAAGCGCATTTCGGACTCCAGTGCTCCAAAACAGGAGCTCAAGAAGAGAGTACAATGGATGGACTTTTTCGGGAAAGAACTTGTTGAGATCAGGGAATTTGAATGCAGGTGTTTACTCTCTCTCTCTCTCTCATGCTGCTTCGTTATTGTATTCATATTCTGTTGTCTTGCTTAGTTTTTCCTCGGGTGGAACTCTTAGTAGAGAGATTGAATTACATCAGATAACAGCCCGGCTGCAGGATCTGAAAAGAGAACAGGAAACTTTTATTAAGTTTGTTTGGATTGATCCAACCATAACATTCATGTGAAACCACATATATGCATATTTTATCCCTAAGATATTATAATTGGAGGAAGAGCCGCCTAGGTGGTTGTAGTTCGAGTTGCAGGAACAAATTGGTTGCTATTAGTTTATGTTTTTGTAACAAATGGAGGAAATTTCATACATTATATGTGTTTTAATGCAAACTATGAGGAAAAACTTTCTCTTCAGAATTTCAGAAAGATAACAAGTAATTTCTAGGTGAACTTATGACTTGATAGACATGCTAAGAAGAGCTTTTCTTCTTCTTCTTCTTCATTTTTAATTTCGTTTTGATTGAGTGAAGGTAGTTGTCAGTTTACACATCAAAATCGATTGCATTGATAAAAAAAAAAAAAAAGTTGTC